TCAACTGCCAGTAATCTAAATTAATACTGCGCTAAACAGCACCCTTGCTCTGGGTTCTCTTCAGGCAGTTTTGTACTTGTATTTAACCTCAAGTTCTCTTGAAAGGTTCCTTCCTTTACCTCATTTAGATCAACCAACTAGGTTCATTAATAGTTCCCTTAGTTACAACTTCATTGCATAAAGAGACTTGGCAAATATGCTGAAGTCCCAGTTCTACTATATCCTGGTTCTTGACCTTAAACAAGTCTCTTGTCGTAATGGGCCTGAATATCTGCCATAAAGGCTTCAAACTGGGCCATCTCTCATGCTTTTTTCTCTTTAGAATACCTGCGATTCTGTGACTTCCATGATCCACCACTTGCCTCCTCCCACTCTTCACCTTTTAAATCCACTTCCCACGTCTTTAGAGGAGAGGGCATTGAGAGTAGAAGGGACACAATGCTTCAGTAAAGCAGCCTGGTGTGAAAAAGCTGGTAGTCTCTAAACTGTGTCTTTCCTAGACAAGAAAAACTCCCTGAACTCTTTCTCCTTGTGACAGCAGCAGAAACCAAGTAACAACAGCCCTTGGAGAAGGGTTAAGGTTTTCTTGACCACTACGGTGACAAAGACCTTAAGAAAGTTGGTACTTCTGGCCTACGCTGCCATCATCCTACCATCCAGCCCAAGACGGCCCAGTCTGGACATTAGTGCCTCCCTCTTTATTCTTCTGAGATCATCCAGATCCGCACGTGACTGTTTCTTTTCAAATTTCACAAATCCAGCCCTCAGATCTTCATATCCTGGTTCTCAGTCTCCCTTGAAGGTGAATGGAATCTCGATTCTCAAACTTTGTTTTTTTTTTTTTTTTTAAATCATTTTAATGTATGATTTAGTGTGTGTATTAGTTTTTTATATGTACCTCTCATTTGGCTTGAGGAACCTCTTTACTTAGTGTCCAGCAGAAGATTCACTTATTCACTCATTCATTCTATAAATATGTGCTGAGAGACTACTGTGTACCCGGCACTGTTCTAATTGCTAAGAACAAAGCCCTTGTCACCAAGGAGCTTACATTCTGATGGACGATTGTGATAATAAACTTAAATATGTTGTATGTTAGAAGGCGGTAAGTGTTCTTGGGAAAAGTAAAAATAAACAAGGACGGGGATAAGTATGTGTGTGTCAGGTGGTTGTTTTATTTAGGATAGTAACGGTAACATTGGAGTCCTGGTATGGCGCTGTGGTCTAAAGCACTGGACCCCAATGTCAGTTTGAACTACAAGGTCGGTAGTTCAAGCTCACCAGTTGCTCCTTGGAAACCCTATACAGGGTCGCTATGAGTCAGAATCGAATCAACAGCACTTCACAACAACAATAAAGGTAACGTTTGAGCAGAGGGAAGAGGTAAGGAGCTAATCATGTAGATAATAGGGGTGCAAAGCATTCTAGGAAGGTGGAACAGCAGCTGCAAAGACCCTGAGGTGGGAATATGGGTAACATGTTTAAAGGAGAGCAAGGAACCCACTGTGGAGTCTTGGGGATAGATGTGACTTTCTAGGGAGAGCGCCTGTAAGAGTAGCTTCTTTTTTTCTCTCTCCTAACTTTATATTCGAAACTACCAGCTGCTCCGCGGGAGAAAGATGAGGCTTTCTACTCCTATAAAGATTTACAGCCTCGGAAACCCTGTACAGGGTCACTATGAGTCGGAACTGACTCCACAATACATAACCACCACCTGTACTGGACACAAGTTAACACAAAGTGCTTAGGTGATTTAGTCTAGCTAAACGGTGACGTGGAGAACTCAAGGTCAGAGATTCTCAGGAAGGGCTCATAGAGCTGCTAGGAACCAGAGAGCAGTTTCCCTTCTGCAGTCTCCGCCTCTCCATGCTAGAGTCCCTCTCTGCAAGTGGTCTTTCTCCACTTCTCATAGTAGACAGGAGAGGGGCAGCCCCGTAGTTTCACTCTTTGGCTTAGGAAAGCAGTCCAGTCAGAATCAGAGTCCCTCATTCTTAATCCCAGATTTCCAGGAGAGAACATCTGTTTAGCACAGCATGGATCAGGAATCCACTCAGAGTTCAATAAACCGCAGCCAGGGCACAAAGGGTCACACAGGACCAACATGGACATGGGGCCTGTGGATGTCCAAGAATAGAGCTTATGGACTAGACTCACCTAAAATGAGGTCCACCTATAAATTCCTAGTTGCAGGACTAGATGATTTCCTTTATCCTGGTTTAGAGAAGGTAGATGACTGGAAAGATACAGTCAGTAGAGATTCATGAAAAGTAGAAGATATATGGTATAGGGATGGAAAGTTGTAGAATATTAGAGTTTGACATTTTCATTTGTAGGGAAGATCCCCTATGCTTTCTCAAAGTGTACATGCTCAAATACTCTCCCAGGTATGCATGGTTCTCCAAAGGTATGATGGAGCCCTTTCTGATGAGTTCTTTTAGGGAGTAGGGCCAGCTCCTTATTAAGGGAGTAGAGCCAGCTCCCCAACTACTCTGAATGTCTGCACTCTGTGATTCAAGGCTATGACTCCTGCTATTTCATGCCAATCACTTTTCCTGTTACTTTAAGCAATGAGTGTAACAAACTACTAATAATACAATGGTATGGTTGGGTGACAAGGTGAGAAAAAGAAAGTGTCAGAAGGGAGAGGCTAAGGGTGTGCGAATGTGAAAAAACAAAACACAAAAAACTACCCTGGGAAGATTCTGACTAAGGCAGGCACAGGAGGGACAGACATAACCTGGGTTTACAGCACTCAGGGCCAAAGTCAGCCCTGTGCGTGTTATGTTTACATAGAACAAATGAAATAGAAAAAAGGAGCAGGTGGAAGCCTCAAGACAAACCAATTCTGAAAAGATGAGAGATCTAGCAATGCCTTGTTCTTGTTGCTAAGTGCAGTAGAGTCAGTTCCTACCGATGCCTGGGGTGGGGGTGGTGTTAATAATCATAATCACCCAAACCGTAACTTTTACGGAGTGTTTCCTTATCCCAGGTATTCTGCCGGTTACCTGATATGTATGTGTATTAGGCGGCTGCTGTTAGTTGCCGTCGAATTCATTCCGACTCATGGGGCAACCCCAAGTAGGGACCCTGTTTAGGGTTTTCGAGGAGCGGCTGGTGGATCTGAACGCGTGACCTTGCAGTCCAGTGCTTATCCTCAGCACCATACCAGCACTGTAGAAATGTTTATATCTTACAGCAATGGCTATTTGACAAATTTCTACCTGGTGTGGCGCTGTGGGTTAATGCGCCAGACTGTAAAGCCATTTGAACTGCAAAGTCGGCAGTTCAAGCTCACCAGTTGCTCCTCGGAAACCCTATACAGGGTCGCTATGGGTCGGAACCGACTCGACGGCACTTAACCTGGAAGGTGGGCGTCCTAGTGTAGCACTACAGTTCGCTAATGGTCGGAAGCAACTCAACGGCACTTAACAACCCGCAAGTCGGCGGCTTCCCGAGCCTACAGGTATCTTACAGTGCCATCCCTGGTCATTCCTCCTGACCACACGGGGCGCCAAACGCAAACCTTCTCCCCTTTGAGAGACTGCCGCGAGTCCCCCAAAGCCCCTCTTCTTTCTTCACGTCACCCCACGCTCCACACCTCCTCCCCTGGAGCGGACCACCACGCAGGCGCCCAAAGCCCGGCGTCGGGGGTGGAGCGGGGGCGCGCCCAGGGACCGGCCGCGTGGCAGTTGGTCGGAAACAAGTCATGTGACCGCGGAGTCGCCGCGTGAGCGTGCGCAGAGCGGCTCAGCGCGCCCGTGACGGAAAGACGAGGCGTGGGGGTGCGCGACCTCGCCCGCCCGGCCCGCCCCCCGCCCCTTGGCCTGCCGCTCCAACCCCGCGGGGCGTCCCGGGCCGCTCGTCCCGTCAGCGGCGGCCGCGCGCGGCCCGGGGTCGCCGTGAGTACTCGCGAGGCCATCCTGTGGGGCGGCCGCCTCGGGGATGGGGCGGGGCGGTCGGACCGCGGGAAGGGTGCGGGGCCCGCCCTGCCTCGATCGGGGCGGACGAAGTGAGGGGCTTGGACGGGGTGACAGTGACCTGAAGGGCCCCCTCTAGGCGTGGCAGGCTGCTCTCCGATCGGACTCAGGCTTCTTCCCCGGGAGGCAGATGTTGGGTGTTTCTAGGAGTCTTCCTTCGCAGGAAACGTGGAGAAGAGCAGTGAACTGCTTCCCCGAGGGAGGCCTAAGGGCCTGAGAGCGCGAGGGGGTGGGGGGCAGATCATGTTTTCCGAGTGCACCCGGTCTTTTCTCTTCACGAAGTACCCGAGATAGCTTTCGCCTGCGGGGTCACCCTTCCATGGACTCTTCTTACACTCTTTGTTCAGTGGCCTAGTCTTGGAGGAGCCGAGTCACCTCCTCTCCCTGGACCACAAAGCTGAGACTTGAAACGTTGTCAAGTTGTCACTCCCAAAAGCACCCCTGTGATCAGACTTTCTGCTGATCCCTGACACATTAATAGTCTTTCAACTGCCAGTAATCTAAATTAATACTGCGCTAAACAGCACCCTTGCTCTGGGTTCTCTTCAGGCAGTTTTGTACTTGTATTTAACCTCAAGTTCTCTTGAAAGGTTCCTTCCTTTACCTCATTTAGATCAACCAACTAGGTTCATTAATAGTTCCCTTAGTTACAACTTCATTGCATAAAGAGACTTGGCAAATATGCTGAAGTCCCAGTTCTACTATATCCTGGTTCTTGACCTTAAACAAGTCTCTTGTCGTAATGGGCCTGAATATCTGCCATAAAGGCTTCAAACTGGGCCATCTCTCATGCTTTTTTCTCTTTAGAATACCTGCGATTCTGTGACTTCCATGATCCACCACTTGCCTCCTCCCACTCTTCACCTTTTAAATCCACTTCCCACGTCTTTAGAGGAGAGGGCATTGAGAGTAGAAGGGACACAATGCTTCAGTAAAGCAGCCTGGTGTGAAAAAGCTGGTAGTCTCTAAACTGTGTCTTTCCTAGACAAGAAAAACTCCCTGAACTCTTTCTCCTTGTGACAGCAGCAGAAACCAAGTAACAACAGCCCTTGGAGAAGGGTTAAGGTTTTCTTGACCACTACGGTGACAAAGACCTTAAGAAAGTTGGTACTTCTGGCCTACGCTGCCATCATCCTACCATCCAGCCCAAGACGGCCCAGTCTGGACATTAGTGCCTCCCTCTTTATTCTTCTGAGATCATCCAGATCCGCACGTGACTGTTTCTTTTCAAATTTCACAAATCCAGCCCTCAGATCTTCATATCCTGGTTCTCAGTCTCCCTTGAAGGTGAATGGAATCTCGATTCTCAAACTTTGTTTTTTTTTTTTTTTTTAAATCATTTTAATGTATGATTTAGTGTGTGTATTAGTTTTTTATATGTACCTCTCATTTGGCTTGAGGAACCTCTTTACTTAGTGTCCAGCAGAAGATTCACTTATTCACTCATTCATTCTATAAATATGTGCTGAGAGACTACTGTGTACCCGGCACTGTTCTAATTGCTAAGAACAAAGCCCTTGTCACCAAGGAGCTTACATTCTGATGGACGATTGTGATAATAAACTTAAATATGTTGTATGTTAGAAGGCGGTAAGTGTTCTTGGGAAAAGTAAAAATAAACAAGGACGGGGATAAGTATGTGTGTGTCAGGTGGTTGTTTTATTTAGGATAGTAACGGTAACATTGGAGTCCTGGTATGGCGCTGTGGTCTAAAGCACTGGACCCCAATGTCAGTTTGAACTACAAGGTCGGTAGTTCAAGCTCACCAGTTGCTCCTTGGAAACCCTATACAGGGTCGCTATGAGTCAGAATCGAATCAACAGCACTTCACAACAACAATAAAGGTAACGTTTGAGCAGAGGGAAGAGGTAAGGAGCTAATCATGTAGATAATAGGGGTGCAAAGCATTCTAGGAAGGTGGAACAGCAGCTGCAAAGACCCTGAGATGGGAATATGGGTAACATGTTTAAAGGAGAGCAAGGAACCCACTGTGGAGTCTTGGGGATAGATGTGACTTTCTAGGGAGAGCGCCTGTAAGAGTAGCTTCTTTTTTTCTCTCTCCTAACTTTATATTATGAAACTTTCCAATTATACACAGAAGTAGAGAGTGTAACAAACTCTTACATACTCATAAGTTTCATCAGTAATCAACATTTTGCCTATTTGTTTAATCTGTTGTCTTTGGAGTCCTGATGTGGCGCTGTATGATAAGCACTGGACTGCTAACCACAAGGTCCGTGGTTCAAGCCCACCAGCCACTCCTTGGAAATCCTATACAGGGTCGCTATGAGTCAGAACCAACTCGGCATTTAACAACAACATTTTCTCCTTTTCATTTTTTGTGGTGCTACAGTAATTTGTTTCTTTAAGTTTTGATTGTGAATTGAGTGATAGTTTACATGGGAGAACATCAGCTTTTACATTCATCCTATCATATTTCATTTCATTGCAATGATTACAATCCCCTCCATGCATCATCATTCAACAGCATTTGCTTCCATTCCCTCTGTTACTTTTGTTTTGTTTTTTGGATGTACACTGAAGCACTCAGGAAAATATAACCTTTCAAACAACCAAAGGTGCTACACCCCACAAGCCTTCCCCTCACCCCCCAGCCACCAGCACACAGCCCCTCTCCCTCCCTGAGTCCAGAGTCCCCAGGTGCTCTCCACATCATCATCATCATCTCTGCCTCCATCTCTGGCGTCACTACTTCTCTGATAGAGTCCCGCACTCCACTCTTCTCCCTTGATAGTCCCAGGTCCTTTGCTCCTGGACATCAAGATCAACCACTCCCCTCCTTTTGTTAACCAAACGTCTACCTTTTACAGGAATATTTTTGCCTGAGTAGTATGTTAAAGCAAATCCCAGCATGGCATTTCATCCCTAAAATCTTCAGACTCACATTTCTTCTGCATAGTGTTTAAATCGGTCAGGAAGTACTATCCACTGGAGGACAGCTATGCTGAGTTTGCCCTGGCATTGTGCCTTACGTCCTTACCCCAGATCAGTTACCAGACTTCAGGTGGTATCTGAGAAACAGACCACACACCCTTGTAACACACAAGGTTCTCAGATTGCATCATGCATTAGAATAATTTGGAGGGCTCCTTGAAAGTAGAGGTTGTGGAGGCCCCACCCCCTTGGAGTTCTTATTCAGTAGGCCTGCAAATTTGCATTTCCTAAAATTCCCAAGTGATACTGATGTTGTACACAGATGGTTCCACAGACTGCACTCTGAAAACCACTGCTCCAGAAACCGAAGATTCCGTAGAACCTCATTAGAGACCAAGAACTTCTGTATTTAAGACTAGAGTGGGTTAGGGTGAATTATTTGCAGAAACAAAAAGGCCTATAACTGGTTTTTAATTTTTACTTCAAAGAAAACTTTTAAAATTCAAATTTAATACATGGGCTCCATCCCCATGAAATTGAATTAATTGGTGTTGAGTTGAGCTGTGCATGGGTGTGTGCTAAAAGTTCCCCAGGTGATTATAATACATAGCTATGCTCGTGACCTACGATATAGAGAGTAACAGAAGGCTTTTTAAACTCTCTCTTAGGGTAACATTTGCCACTCCCTGCTATTAAAAGCCTTCATAAATTTGGCAGATGATTTTTTTTTTTTCTACTTAATGTGAAGGCTTCTGTGGCTAGTGTAGGGCTGGATGTCCTTAGAACTAGATGGGAACAGGAAAATGATATGTAAAAAGGTCTAGGAAGTTAGTCTTTTTTGTTGGGATCATTAGTACATTTTTATTTTAGAGGTAGGTTCCCAGTTGAGTCCAGGGCATTATTTTGTCCATAAAAACTCAGACCATGGCTACCAGAGGATGTTCGTTGTTGCTGGGGAATTTTTTAACGTAGCGTGACTGTCATATAGAGAAAATGAGTCAATCTGGAGAAATGACTAGGCATAAAGAGTCCAGAAATAATCTCAGATTCTGGTTCAAAACGCTGTCAGGGAGTGGTACCGTGAAGAGTGTTCCAAAATGTCGAGTAGCACAAGCATCTGGTTTGGCCACATCTGCCCGCTGGCTCCAGGAGGTGATGCTGCAGTGTGAGCTAGAAAGAACTTGGGACTCTGCAGTCATGGGTCAGATGAGTGCAGACATGTTCCAATGTCAACTCTCAACATGAACTGCACACTACAGTTCATTATCTTCCAAAAGCTTTGTGTGTAAGTATGTGTGTACATACATGTAAGTATGTTTATGGGCAAGTTTCTGCACACACGTATAATGAAAGTGTATCCTCAAGTCTGTGTGCCTGTTTATATACCACTCCGTTCCTAAATGGTGAGGAAACCAGCTGTTATCTCCTTCCCACAGGACAGTGACTCGTTACCAACGCAACAGCAGAGACTGCCATCTCCATCTCCAGCAGATTGCCAGTTAGCCCGTGACATTGCCTCCTCGTTTGTCTCCCTTTGTGGCTTCCTAAATGCCCATCTTGTTGGCCTGGGTTCAGCTGGTGGTATGGAGGGGTGCTGCCTAGCACTGACCTGGGAGTTTGAGTGACCCACTGACCCAATGGTGAGAACTGACTGCCCACCTGCAATGAGAGTTTCCCCTCTCCAGCTTTATCATCCCTGGGGTAGAGGGGACAAAGCGCAGATCTCACCCTTGCCTGGTGTTGTCCCTCCAGCCCTTTTAGAAGAGGGGTGGTTGTTTGCAGTTAAAGGAAAGAGAGGGGGCATGGAAACACTATTACTTGGTGGGCTGGAGGGACGGGGGGGATATGTGTGTATATGTGGTTTTCCTTTGGAAGAAATGTTAAGTGTGGTAGAAAGAAAGCTTAGGTGTGCCTGGGAGCTGCCTTGGATGGCAATCCTAGGAGAGGCCTGTTTGTATTAGAACCCAGGTATGGCTGGTAATCAACCTGGACACTGAAATTGAAGTCTTCTGTATCCTCCTCGTGCATACTGAGCCTTAAGAAGGCCAGAATTGCCTACTGTTTTACTCTCCATCCCACCAAGTTAGAATTAGGCCATGGAGATTCAGAAAGAGCCTGAGACCCTACCAAAGGGGGAAGTAATGGATAGAACAGAATTAGAGCTTCAGTTACTCTATCCCAAGGAACCGTCTCCCACTCTTTGTGGGTGCCTAATTCCCATCTTATCATCCTACCCCATGCCTTGGGGGAGCAGGACCCTAACAAGGGTTTGTATTATGTCTCATCACTAGGACATCAAAGGCCAGTTCTGGAACGATGATGATTCGGAAGGAGAAAATGAATCAGAGGAGTTTCTCTATGGAGTTCAGGTGAGGCTATTAGCTGTGCGACCCTTGCTGGCTGCTCTGGATGTGTACTTCTCTTTGGATGCCTTGGGAGTGAATGAGGTGGTTCTAAAGTAGAGATGAGTTGAGGATTTAACTTTGGTGTGGCCTGAGCTTGTCGGAGCTGATCCATGTCCATGCTGCCTGTGATTCATATCTGTCCCAGGGCATACCATAGTCTGTCCATGGAGGCTACCCATATGTTACTAGTTAGAAATAAGTATTTTTGTAGTCTCTCACTATTGTTGTGTGCCGTCGAGTCAGTTCCAACTCTTAGCAACGCTGTATAGGGTTCCCAAGGCTGCAGAGGGTTTCCTCATCTTTTTCCTGCAAAGCAGCTGGTAGATTTAAACTGCTAACTGTGGTTAGCCCATTGTGGAACGCACTGCGCTACCAGTGCTCCTTTTCCCAGCACCCAACCCAAAAAACCCACTGCTGTTGAGTCTGTTCTGACTCCTAGTGCCTCTACAGGACAGAGCGGAACTGGCCCTATAAGGTTTTCAAGGTGGTTGTGAATCTTCCATAAGCAGGCAGCCACAGCTTTCTCCTACAGAGAGGCTGGTAGGTTTGAACAACTGAACTTTCAGTTAGCAGCAGAGCACCTGACCACTGTACCACCGATAGTCCTTTCTCACTAGCCTGTGGGGGTCAGTTCATTCATTAGGTTCAGACTCTTAACAGGTTATCCTGCCACTGATTCCTTAATGCCTTCACTACCCAGTTCACAGTCCTAAGCAGAAATGTCAGGGACACTCCAGACAGACACAATTGGAGTTAAACACTGTGCTTGTCAGCCTGTTGTGAGTTCACATAGAAGGTACACCTGAGCAGCCTGAGTCAGAGAGGAAAAACTGCAGACCTAAGGATGCAAACGCCTCAAAGACTGCAGTTGCTCTTCAAGAACATCTTAAGTGTGATGATGGGAGGGAAACTGGTCTCAGTGAAACTCCCACTTAGAAGCACCTCCCAGAGCACCTTCCAATAGGTACGGTTCATTTAGTCTGTACTAGGTTTGATTTCCCCTGTTCCAGGAGTCGCCCATGTTCTTTTCATCTTTCATCCCTTTCTTTCCCACTCCCTACCACCACATTTTGCCACTGACCCAGGGGAGCTGTGCAGCTGACCTATACCGACACCCACAGCTTGATGCAGACATAGAAGCCGTGAAGGAGATCTACAGTGAGAACTCTGTGTCCATCAGGTGGGGCTCCACTACAGGGATGGCAGGGCAGCAAGCCACTGCCATCTGAGTTGTTAAAAGGCTAGAGGACTATTCTGTTTACAGTGTGCTGGGGGTCTGTGGGCATAGATAAAACAAAAGCATAATGATAGTGGGAGTTGCTCAGGATACGAAGCTTGCCTGATAGGAGCCAATGGGCAAAATATGGCCACTTTTCTTAGAAAGTCCCTCTAACCACTGTCCCCTCTAGGCTGATGGTTTCACTTTTGAGGCAAGAGAGGCTTTAGGCCTAGAGAGTATCCTGCTCATGTGAGTGGTTTGCGGCTTTCACTAAAAGCTTAGGTAGATGTAAGAGTACCTTCCACCCTGCCTTTCCTTCTCCTCAGGTACAGGTCTCCCTTCACCTCAGTTTATGTTCTTTCTTCTCCCTTAATGATTCTCACCTGTGTTCACCTATGTCTCTATAGAGAATATGGAACCATCGATGACGTGGACATTGACCTCCACATCAACATCAGCTTCCTCGATGTAAGTGGTGCTAGTACCCGCCAACAACATAGCTAGCTGGACTGGTGGATTTTGTCATGTCAGCCAGGAGTCTTATTCCTGAGTGCTGTCTTTAGAGCACATATTCTCCATCCGTGTCTTGTCTAGACCATCAGTAGATAGTGTGTGTCATATGGGGAAATCTTAAACCAGTCCTCTCTGCTGCTAAACTTGTAACTGTTTCTCTTACTCTTTTAGGAGGAAGTCTCTACCGCCTGGAAGGTCCTCCGGACAGAACCTATTGTATTAAGATTGCGATTCTCTCTCTCCCAGTACCTTGATGGACCAGGTAAGGGCAGTGATTTTGGTCAGTTGGGTGCTCTGAACATGAGCTAAAGTCCTCAGTTAACTTAAGTAGAGAAAAACTAGGAAGAAGGCCATTGGTAGGAACTTTTAATCTTCTGGTGTTGTGTCTTCATCCTCTTTCATTGGATGGCCATCCCCTAAAGACTTTCTTGGTTAATGCAGTTGTTTTCTCTGATACGCAGATATCATTTATTCCTCCCCTCTCTCCACTATTTCCTACTGAGGACATTTGAACTAGTCAGCTCTTCAAATCTCCCCTCTGTCTGGTGATATTGTCTTCCTTCACTTGTACTGTTCACAGTACCTGCAGTTACTATTTTTAGAGTCTAAGGAAACTGTTCCATGGATCTGTGCCTTCTAATTTCCAGGAGGATAGAGATGTGTACATACTAGGAACTTTCTCTTCTTTTTGCAGAACCGTCAATTGAGGTTTTCCAGCCGTCGAATAAGGAAGGGTTTGGGCTAGGTCTTCAGTTGAAAAAGTAAGAACTTTGATTTTTCTTGGTCATGAACATGTGAGGAGAAGATATGAGGGGACTTCAAAAAGTTTGTGTAAAAATGGAATTAAAAGATAATGGAATTTTTCCATAAACTTTTTGAAATCCCTCCTCTATGGGGATGGACAGGCAGGCCCTTGGATGGATACTAAATTTTATACAAAAGTATCTTTCTGTGATATGCCTAAGGAAGGCTAAAGTAGATTTGGGGGCCAAGGTTTTGGTGGTAGGAGGGGAAGTCTGTGGTTCTTGGGTATCTGGCTTTGAGGTGTCCTGGAGGTGAGAGGAAGGAGGCCTGGTGGCACAGTTGGCTGCTAACTGAGAAGTTAGTGGTTCAAACCTACCAACTGTTGTGTGGGAGAGAGATGCAGCTGTCTGCTTTTGTGGAGCAATTCTCTGTCTCATAGGGCTGCTGTGCGGAGTGCAGATCTGACTGATGGCTGTGCATTGGGTTTGGCTGGAGATGAAAGACTCCTCGCTGCTTAGATGAGAGGCTTGTGACATTTCCTCTTACAGTTTCTCTCAGAGATGACTTCATTTCATTGGATGTGTACACCAAATGCCTTACTAAGTATTGGGTATATACATAGTGATATGAAGCATACATTCTAACCTCAAAAAAGTTTCAAATCGAGTCTAGCAGATCCATGTTCTAATACGAAGGGGCAAAACTTTGTGGAAAAATGGAATGGAAAGGTAATGGAGTTTTTCCTCAAGCTTTTGAAGCCCTTTCATTTAAGTGACTATGTAAGGTTTAGAAAGAACACAGAGAAAGGAACGACTCAGTCTAGTGACAGGTGGAGGAAGGCTCTGAGTGAAAGAATGAGAGGGAGATGATGAATGGTATTCAGAGATGGATGAAATCTATCCATATAGACAAGATTCCGAGAATGTGTTACGTTGGCAGAGGCACAGTCGGTTAAGCAGCATGTGTGTAGGGCACTTCCGGTAGTTCCGTATTGCTTGAGTATCCAAAGGGAGGAGTCCTGGTGTGGCGCTGTAGGAGAAGCACTGGACTGCAAGGTTGGGTTGAATTTCTAGGTCAGCAGTTCAAACTCATCAGTAGTTCCTCGGAAACCCTGTACTGGGTCTCAAGAGTAGGAACTGACTCAGCAGCACTTCACAGCAACAACAGTGACTAATGACATTGAGCAGCTTTTCATGTGCTTAATCATTATTTATTGACCAATTTTCCTGCCTGAGCTTTCCTAAGCCTATTCTTTTTGATTCCTCAGGATCCTGGGAATGTTCACATCCCAACAATGGAAACACCTCAGCAACGATTTCTTGAAGACCCAGCAGGAGAAGAGGCACAGTTGGTTCAAGGCAAGTGGTACCATCAAGAAGTTCCGAGCTGGCCTCAGCATCTTCTCACCCATCCCCAAGTAAGTGTTCTCCTAGGAGTTGCAATCTCTAATTACCTTGATGGTGGTGGTGGTTATGTGCCGTGAGGTCAGTTCAGCCTCATAGCGATCCTGCATAGGGTTTCTGAGGCTGTAAATCTTTATGGGAGCAGAAAGTCTCATCTTTCCCCCACAGAACAACTGGTAGTTTCGAGCTGCAGGTTAGCGGCTCAACTTGAAACCACTACACTATGTCTTCTCCGTCACCCCATCATCTTGAGCTCCTAAACGTATCTATCTTTGTTCTCTATCCTCTCTTTGTTCTCTGAATTCTGTATCTTTAACTGGTAACACTACCCATGTGGTCTTGTCATCTGCGTGTCCTTACCCTTCTACTCTTGACCCCATTGTTTATGTAAAACACAATACCTAATACACAGTGTGTATTTGGAGGAATGTATTCTGATTACTCTATCTTTTCTTTCTTTGGCTAGCATCCCATTCACCAACCTAAGGAGACAAAGTGAGAAAACAGACACTAATTCCTCCTTCTTCTGCAAGGGTACATTCTAGGTTCTGGAGTAAATAGTGTTCCGTTCTTTGACCCCAAGTTTACATGGTGGTTGTAGGGTGCTTTTTGTTTTTTTCTTTTTACCTTGTTGCCTTCTAATCTTCCTAAAGACAGATGTAAACCCAAGTGGCAGATATTGACTGTTGAGTACTAAACAGATGACTCTGGGGGGCACAGATTTTCAGTTTCACTGACACAACTATTGATAGAGGTGATTAATTTTGCCTAGCACAGTGTCTAGTACTTTATAATATATATATATATATATATATATATGCATCTCCTCTCCATAGGGTCATTTCATACCCAGCCTAGATGTCAGAGAATGATCTAGGTCCTGCCTCTGCCTGCCCTACAGGGACTCATTGTGAAAACTACACAGATAAGAACATAAAAATCACTTTCAGATGCATGATCTACTTTTCTTGACAGTGTTTACGGTGCAGTGGAACGTTCCTTAGATGAAAGTGTCTCAGAGACTTGTGTCACGGTACCCATCTAGTTTTGACCTCTCTTAGCTTCAGTCCTCGTCTAGGGCTCATGCTGGATCCTCAGTGTCATCACTGCTCATATTCTGTCTTTCCCAGGTCTCCCAGTTTCCCTATCATACAGGACTCCATGCTGAAAGGCAAACTGGGGGTACCAGAGCTTCGGGTTGGGCGTCTCATGAACCGCTCTATCTCCTGCACCATGAAGAACCCCAAAGTGGAGGTGTTTGGTTACCCTCCCAGCCCCCAGGCAGGTCTCCTGTGCCCTCAGCACGTGGGCCTCCCTCCCCCAGCACGGACCTCTCCTTTGGTACATGGGCTGGGGAGGGTTTGCTGTGGGCATTAGGAGGGTGGAGTGCAAATACGGGACCATGGTTCCTCAAAATAGGCTGGGAGGATGGTTGTCCAGGGATGTACCATGAGTCGGGAGCAGGAAACATACCAAACTCGTCATTGTTCACAATGTAGGCCATGAAGCTGAGAGTCTGGGGATGGCCAGGGATGATTTTATTCAGTTTTGGCCTAGGATAGGACTTGGTAGTCAGCTGCTGCACTAACATGCTCCACCTGCCTCATAAGAGGATCAAAGGCAGGTGGGTCCTTTTCCTTTGAAAAATGTCTAATGGTCGTCTTTCCAGCTTTGGGATATCTTAGGTTGATTTCAGACTAGGGCTCAGCTACTTTTGGGGAAACTTAGGTGGTGGGTATAAGTGAGGTCATCTAGACCCCAGCTTCATGGGAGGCTCATGGGGTCTTTTTACTCCCCTCAGGTCAGTGGTCACTGCAAGAACATTCCCACTCTGGAGTATGGATTCCTCGTTCAGGTAACTCCAAAACCCTTTCTCTGCTGTTACCTGACCCACCTGATCTTAAGTGGGTCTCTTAGCTCGTTAGTCATTTAACAAATGCTTCCTGTGTTGCTTTGCTCCCAGAACTACTGTATGGAGAAAAGACAGTCCAGTTGCCATACTCAAGAACCTTACAGCATTTTTTGTAAGGACAGTACTTGTAGACCACCTGTGATCAAGTGCCAAATAAGGCACTGCAAAATTTAAATGTCTAAGAGTCTTAGTGTGTGTCTGTAGGGTAAACACTGGACTGCTAACCACAAGGTCAGCAATTCAGACCCTACCACTCCTTGGAAACCCTATACAGGGTCACTGTGAGTCGGAACCGACTCAACGACACTTCACAACAACAGATATCGAGATGAGAGAGAGGGATCGACAGTGATGTCTTTACAGTCCTGGACATCTTTGCTCAAATGGTCCTCCCTCAATTGTCCTCACAGACCTCTTGGACTGCTTGCTAACTACTGGCTACTTGGTTCTTGTTTTCATTGCTCTGCCACCTCTACATGCTTTCTGGCTTATGTCTCTGTTGCCTTTGTTCATGCCATTGCTTTCATCTGCCTTCTTCTCCTTATCTGCCTATTGTAGTCAAGGCTCAGGTGCCCCTTTCCCTAAAATATTCTGTTACCCTCAGTGTACTAGCTGAAAATGACCTCTTTCTTCACTACTTCTTGTTATATATGGCACCTATATGTCATACCATTTGCTGCCTTAAATTGTTCAGTGTGTTTTCAGTGAAGGTTTACAGAGCAGTTTAGATTTCCATTCAACATTTCTATACACGTTGTTCAGTGACATTGGTTACATTCTTGACAATGTGTAAACTATCTCATTTCCACTCTGATTATTCTTATGTCCATTGATCTAGTTTCCTTGCCCACTTATATCTTCATCTTTTCTTTAAAGTAATTGACGTTTGGTCTCATATAAACTGTAGTTAATATTCATGCATGCCACATCTGTTCACGTTTAGGGTCTTAGAAGACAAAGGCAATCTTTTATATATCATTACATCCTCAGGAGACCTTTCACAGGACTGGGTAAACAGTAAGCATTCAATAAATCTTTATTAAATGAATTAACAAAACACTTCATGTGTCGTTCAGGTAACTTCAAAAGCCTGTTCAAAAGTATATGAAATAGAAACAACTGATTCCAATCAAAACACAGCTGATTGGAAAAGCCATGTTAAGGCAGTGTTCGTAAAAATGCTTTAGGATACCCATGTGTGAGCTGTGGATTTGTGCTATCTTCCCAGTGGATAGGCAGATTGCTCTAGGTAGATGAAATGACTTCTCAGGTGCCCTTGTCACCTGATATGTGGGGACAATCTGTAATTACTGCGACTACTGTTAATAGTTTCATGAGCACCTATCAACACATAAAATACTTTCATGAAGTCATCTCTTTCCTACCAATATGCCCTGAGGTGACTAGCACCCTACTTTATTTTGCAAATGCCCATACCTACATTATGCTTTTATTATACAAATAAAAAATGCAGTCTTTTATTTAGATGATTTGTGATTTGAATTTTGTATTTGTTACTTGTTTTTCATCATTAGCAAGTTTATTTAAGTTTGTGTATTGTGCTATCATTTCACACATGTTTTGTTGTTAAGTGCTGTCAAGTTTGTTCCAACTCACAGCAACTCTGTATAGGTTTCTGATGCTGTAAATCTTTGCGGGAGCAGAAAGCACCTCTTTCTCCTGCAGAGAGGCTGTGGGCTCAAACCACCAATTTTGTGGTTCACAGTCCAGTGCTTATCCTACAGAGCCACTGCACTCCCACATTTCACAAATATACCTATTGAAAACATACGTATACTTTTTCATGTGAATTGAGTGAAGGTTACAGACAAGATCATCAGTTGTATACTCTGCAAATCACAGACTTTGTTTCATCTCAATGATTGCAGTTGCCTCAATGTAACATCACTTATCTCACTTCCTCACTCTGTTTCTTGTTTTCACTGCTCCTTCTTTCCCAGCTCTTCTGAATTTTGTCCATAGGTAAATGCAGCCCTTTTGATCCTAAAAGGTTAACCGTTCTATACTGTGTAACCCTCTGTGCCACCAGGACTGAACCTCACAAGTGCTGTCCTTCCTTTTATACCTATTTACTGCTTGACTGAAAATTGAGCTACAGACCTTACTCTGTGCAATTACAGACTTGAAGAGTGACCATAATCTTGAGGTTCTGCTGGTGTTTTTAAAGTTGTCGTTAAGTGCTTTTGAGTTAGCTCAGACTCATAGTGATCCTGTATGGGGAGTTTGAACAGCCAACTTTGTAATTGAAACCAAACATTCCGTCCAGTGCTTATCCTACAGCTTATCCTTACCCTGTTTTGTTTGTTTGTTTATTTGGTTGTTTTTATGATTTTGAATTTTGTTCCACGTTTTCTCCCACTCTACCTAGAATCCTCTAATGTGATCCCATTCAGAGCAGTTGATAATGATAGTCAGGCACCATCTAGTTCTTCTGTTCTCAGAGTCATGGACACTGCTGTTCACATGATCCATTAGTCCATTGAACTAATTGAATAATGCATCACTTTGTAAAGAAGAAACAAAGCTCAGGTTAACTGACTTGCCCAAAGTTATATAAAATATTAAGTAGAAGAGGTGGAATTTTAATCTAGTTCTTTTAAATCTAAGGTTATGGCTGCGTTTGTATTATTATTATACAGTCTTGGAGTCCTGGTGTGAACTGCAGGATGAGCACAAGACAGCTTAACTGCTAACTTCAGAATCATCAGCTGCTTCTTGGAAACCCTATACCGGCTCACTATGAGTCAAAACCAACTTGACAGCAGTCAACAACAATAGCAGCAGCATGTAGCCTTAGCTTTGCAGTCGGGCCATCAAGAATAAATCCGGCCCTAGGCATGGCACTGGGAAGAAGTAAAGTAGCTGGCAGTGATGCTCAGGTTTAGTTCCCATATCTGCCTAGACGTCCAAAAATAAATACAATCTGTTCTTTCCCCAGATCATGAAGTATGCAGAGCAGAGGATTCCGACCTTGAATGAGTATTGTGTGGTGTGTGATGAGCAGCACGTCTTCCAGAATGGTTCCATGCTAAAGGTGTATACCTCTACTCTGTTACTGTCTTCCTTGGGTCCTTGGCCAACACCCCTTCACTTGTTCCTTTATTCCTTCCTTCCTGGGTCTATGGTAAAGGTAGAATTCTGACCGTACTCCTTGAGACTCTAGGAATAATTGCTTGTCTCTGAATCTTGATGGTCCATTAAGCAGAAATGAGAATGTGAGAGTATTTCTGAGTATACAGTCCCCACCTTGCACTGGGATTAGATACTAACCAGCCTGATTGCATCTGATGCTGTCCTCGAGGTGGTCCAGGTGGGTAGACAGACACTGAATCATAATCACAGTGCATATTAAGGATGTAGAAGAGATGCAGGCGGTGGTGTGGAAGCTTAGAAGAGAGAGCATCTGACTTGTAGGGAGGTCAGGGAAGGCTTTAGAAAGGAGACAGTATTCTTTAATGAGTAAGTCATTTTAATTGAGATTTCACTTATTTACAGAATAGCTTGCTTCTGGCATGTTGTGTGTCAGCAAGTTCAGTTGTGACGCATAGCAACTCTGTACAGGATTTCCCAGACTGTAAATCTTTACAGGAGTAGAAAGCCTCATCTTTCTCCCTTGGAGCAGCTCAACCCAACGTGTAACCCATTGTGCCACCCAGACTGCTTCTGACTTAGAGTCCCAGGCTCCTACCTTGTTCTAGATTATCCGTCTCTCCTGAAACACCTTCTTATTGCATATCTCCCCCCTCCCCCATCTGTTTAATATGTCCCATTCAGCCAGCCGTCTGTACTCGTGAACTCTGTGTTTTCTCCTTCTACACTCTGGGAGTCATGTCGGGAGCTGCAGAGGAGGTGGCCACTGGAGCAGAGGTTTGACAGAGGGAAAAGTGGCTTGGGAACTAGAATCAAGAAAGAAAAGGAACTCAACCATTTTGCTCCTTGTAATATACAGAGAAATGCCTTTATACATAAGGGTTTCACAATATTATTGTTTGTTATAGTAAAAAAAACAGTGGGTACAACTCCATCTACAGGAGACTCAGTTACAGAAATTTTGGTATTTTCTTTAAGCAGAAATACTGTACAACTGTTATTTATGGATAGAAAATGATGAAGTTTTCTGAAGTTAAAAATCCATTGCAGTAGTCTGTATAGTACAGTTCCTTTTTTTTTCTAATTGCCTATGTAACCTGTTTCCATAGGGAAAATGGAAGGATAATAGCATCAAGTTTAACAAGCTACCGATAAGGAATGAGATTTATTTGAAGGTTGTTTTAGTTAAGTGCTGTTGAGTCAGTTCCAACTTATATTGATCCTGTATAGGGTTTCCAAGGAGCAGCTGGTGAGCTTGAACCACTGACCTTGAGGATCAAACTGACTTATTAATAGTCCAGCGCATTAATCCACAGCACCACACTAGAATGGTGTGGCTGGTGGTAGGGGTGGTAGGGGTGATTTTTGTCTTTTCCTTAATCACTTTGGTTTAATTTTAATTTTTAAAATGCATTTGTATTTTCTGATGTTAAAATCACCAACATTAGTTATTAAAAAGAGTATCAAATGTTCTGAGACCCTGGAAGGTAGATCTGTGCTGGATACTTTGTAACACCCAGTATTGGGAGATCACTTAGCTTCTGCTCATTTACTCTCTTTTCTTCTTAGGTGGTAGATCTGCTGGTGGCCATGTGCAGGGCAGCTTTAGAGTCCCCTAGAAAGAGCATCATCTTTGAGCCTTATCCATCCGTGGTGGACCCCACTGATCCCAAGACTCTGGCCTTTAACCCTAAGGTACGATTGCTTGGGGAACAAAATGGGGCTAAGGAACAGAAATCGTAAACGATAATGGGAGAAATGGGACATCATTCCAGTGCGCACACTGGCTTGGAATAAGGAGGAAGAAATGGAATGTCTGGCTGTGGGTTGCGACTCTAGAAAGAAAGCAAGAGCCTGGGGAGAGTAAGGAGAGTAAGAGTAAGCTGTGTTATGGAGTTTAGATAGAGAGGGTGGACACTACAGTACCTTGCCTCCTGGGAAGTGAGCAAGTGGGTCACAGAACGTGACCTCTTAATGGATGCGAACTCGTACTGGGAGAGAAGACCCTATGCTCTGTGTCTTGAAAATTCTTGAACCCTAGGATACAGCTGTTTCTGTGAATAAACAGCTGGGATTGTCAGAAGAATGGGAGAAGAATTAGTATCTATTACACTGATACATTCTATTACAAAGAATATAGTCTTTGAGCCAGAGAAACCTGGGTTCCATTTGAGGTTCTGCTGCTCCCTAGCTGAATGCATTAGGTCACTTAACCTTCCTGAACTTCAGTTTACTTTCCTTCTCTGTAAATAGGGAGTAGCGTGTTTATCTTGTGCATATAAAAGTGAGAGAATTTGTATATGTAAGGAAGCCAGCACAGTAGTAACTTGCTGTTACTGTCCTTCCTATATATGGGCTCTCTACATAACGTTAGTTATTTCGTTTAATCCTCAGAGCATCTCCACAAGGGTGGTACATATTGTCTTCATTTACACACAGGCTCTGAGAACTTAAGTAACTCACCCTAGTACAGAACTAATATGTGCTTCTCAGACTGTCTGACATTAAAGTTTATGTTCTTTCCGTTACCTACTATGCTGTTTCCCTTTGGCCTAGGCTGCTTTTGGAGACCGGGCCCACCTTTTTATTTTGTCTTACTCTCCTCTGCTTTTCTTCATCTGGTTCTTCTCTTCCCATTGATTCCCCACAGAAGAAGAATTATGAGCGACTTCAGAAAGCTCTGGATAGTGTGATGTCTATCCGGGAGATGACCCAGGTATTCTGCCTTCTGTCTGTCCCCTGCCCTCTGCATGTCCAGCTCAAGTGTCCTATTATGCTTGGGATTCGTGGGAGTGGGGTGAAGATTTAGAGATGCTACTCAGTGTCCTCACTGTATTTTTTCTAGTCTTCCCTCTTTAACCTTCCCAGTCCTTGTTCGCTGTTTTGTTAGCTGTTACCCCTTCGTCTCTTCACTCTTAATGTCTCTCTCAACCTTGTACATTTTTGGCTAATTCCTTCACAAGTTGTTGATATTAAATGTTTTCCCCATAACTTTTAGGCAAATAGAGAAGGGAAAGGCCTCTGCTCTGGGTTGGGGGCTGGGGTGCTCGAAAGTAAGGAACTAGACCCAGGGGCCTACATCTTCTATCCTTCTAGGGGTGGGGCAGCCACATGGAGCAGTGACCATCCTTTGACTCAAGGCTGTCCCTCAGCAGACTTCCCCACCCCTCATCTGCAATCTCTGCATGAGTAGACATTCATTTGTACTCACATTTACAGGTGGGCCTCTCCTCAGCAAATCCTATATCTCACACTTCAGATGAACACATGTGGTACAGCTAGAGGGGTGAGGTACATGGCAGAGGACTCTGCTCTATGTAAAGTGTTACTGCAGGATTCCTTAGCTTAGTGTTTCCGGGACATTGGGACATTGGTTTAATTTCTTTTTCAATTTACAGTCCACCTTTTTAGGGCTGTAGGAATTGCATAAAATGAGGGAGACCCACCTGCATGTTGTTTTGTAAACATCTTCAGTCATTTTCATATTTATGAGTTCCCAACCTGACTGGGGCTCCTTGAGGGTGGGACCCCTACCTCCTCTTGCCCCCATGTGACCTTCAGTGCCTGGCCCCGGGCCCTGATAGTCAGTCTGTGGAAAGTGGGAGGGTCCCCACCTCTCCTTAGAGTTCACCTCACGGCCATTGTCTTGCAGGGCTCCTATTTGGAAATCAAGAAGCAGATGGACAAGCTGGATCCCCTGGCCCATCCTCTTCTGCAGTGGTATGGATAGAATGACTCCTCCTGTCCTAGGGGGTTATTGGACAGGGAGCCTATACCTTCTCTTACAGGTTGTTTCAACATTGGGACTTTGTCTTGACCTTCTATTTATACACTTAGTCCTGAGAAGGACTCAGAATCTGCCAAGAACCCACAGAATTCGATATGATGCCTCAAGTTCTCTTTAGGTGTCATATGTTTTGTAGGTTTTTTGAATGCTCTTTGCATGTAGGAATTAATACTATTTTATTAAACTAACTTTTCTGTGTATTCAGAGGAGTCTCTCTTCCCCCTCCCCCTGCACCCTTGTGTTCCTGTCTCGGGGCTTTTCCCTGATGATATAGAATGTCCAGAACATCAGGCACTGTTGTTACTCCCTTCTAGCAAATATTCTGAACATTCCCTCTGCCCTCTACCCTCGTCTTCCTCTCTCCCTGATCTTGATTTCTTTCTGTCTTTCTAACATAGCTTTCCCCTCCCGAACTGTTTACCGCCCTCCCCCCTGCCCTTAGTCCTTAACATCAATACTTTATGTGTGCAATAACTGCTGTCTGTTAGCATGAGAAATGGCCAGGCATAGGACACCTAGGGTGGTGTCATAGGTACATGGATGAGGCACAAAATGTCAAGCTATCTACTGTACGATAGTGCTCCATACTGAGCCCTCAATACTTCTGTTCTCTCCTGCCCTCGGAGTTCAGTCTAGTTGCAGCCCAGTCTGTCCCTGACTCTTCTAAGAAGTTTGTTCTAGTTACTTTTGTTTGTTTCTCCATCTCAGACAGTAATTTTATGTCTATTCCTTCTTGAGCTCCCCAGTAACTAACTGGTCTCTGGATAGAACCTTCCATTTTACAGTTTTATACACAAGCACTACCACTCACAGGGAATGTCCCAATAATGACCTCAACATTTCACACAATTCAGACAGTTCTGGAATCTATGCTTGTTCTCACAGGGGTGATAGGGATGTTTCTGCTTCAGGATGGCCAAACCACACACTTATTCTGTCCTTTTCCTTTTTTCTGTTTCTTTTTAGGATCATCTCTAGCAACAGGTCACACATTGTCAAACTACCTCTCAGCAGGGTAAGTGACCATTCTCCCTCTAAACCCTAGTGTTTCTGGTGAGCTGAGGGTGGGACTCCTAACCAGCTAGCCACAGTGGTGCTAGGCCTACCTGGTGGGCTCTGTCCATCAACCATAGTCTTTGGACCTAAGCGTAGTTTGTTTATCTGGGGCCAGTGTAAGTCAGAGTTGCTCCCTGTCCCCAACCCTTCCCTCCCTGATCTCCATTTCTGTTCTGTTTTCCTGACCCCACCCCACCCTGGGCAGCAGCTGAAGTTCATGCACACCTCACACCAGTTCCTCCTGCTGAGCAGCCCTCCTGCCAAGGAGGCTCGGTTCCGGACCGCCAAGAAGCTCTATGGCAGCACCTTTGCCTTCCAGTGAGAGGGGTGGAGATGGGCTGGGGGTTGGCTAATCATGTAGCAGGCTGGGAGGACAGATGACCTTGAAGCATAGGTTTTACTCATAGGTCTGCATTTATCAACCCGTGGGCAGCTGCTTCTTAACTACAATTGTGGTAGGTGCTATTGAAGATAAAATTCCACAGAAGATAGTCTTTACTCAAACTACTAATGATGTCATTGAGGAGAGATGACATTTACATTAAAAAAGATGTGGTTGAAGGGACAGGTTCAAAAACTATTTTAATGTAAAGCTAATGGTGGTAGTGGTGGTTATGTGCCGTGGAGTCGGTTCCGACTCATAGCGACCCTGTACAGGGTTTCCAAGGCTATAAATCTTTACAGGAGCAGAAAGCCTTTATGCTTAATTGTGGATAGGACAGTGAGGATAAAAAGGTATGAAAAGTAACTGGGAGTGGTGATACCCTTTTCTTAAAATAGAACATGAACAAAGAACTAGAAGCCCATGATAGGCTTATGTTGCACATCCTGGTGATTCCTGGACAGCTGCATGGAGCAGCCTGTGGCAGAGTTGAGTCTGAGATGGATTTGTTGAATTTGGAATACCAGCAGAGCAGACAAATGAAAATACTGAGCCAACAGTTGAGGATTTGGGATGGGACTAACAGAAGCACAGAAGAGAATGGGCCTGACATGAGGATGTAGGGTTGACCACACAAGTTTTGCATGCCGTGACTATATCCATGTGCATACCCATCGCTAGGACAATCTGTCCCTCTTCATGTCCTTTGTGGGTGAACGTGGTGGGAATGGCAGCCTTGGAAGCTGCTCCTGGGAACCTCGTACCATGAGGAGACATGTGTTCTACTGTCTACCTTACAGTGGGTCCCACATTGAGAACTGGCATTCGATCCTGCGTAATGGGCTGGTCAATGCATCCTACACCAAACTGCAGGTGAGGCTGTGCCCTTTTCCCCTTTCTCTCTACTTCCCTCCCTGCCCCGTTCAATTTGGGGCAATGCTGCTCTGGAGTACTCAGCTCTTTTTATGTCTCCATCTTCAAATCTAGCCTGCCTTGGGGGCTCCCCTAAGGAGGAAGTTAAAACTATAGAAGGAATGTGGCTGTGGTGTACTTGGCTGGACTTCGTTTCTTGTGGTTTGGGAACGGGAAGGTAGCAATAGTCAGAAGTATGGACTTTAAGATTGTACCCCGTGTTGAATTGTTAATTGACAGAGCTTTCTTATTTATACAGTTGTTTATTAAGAGTGTTGACGTGGGAAACTGTCAGAAGTCTGATATTACCCCTAGGCTCTGTGGGATCCCAGAGACTGAGTATTATCCCTCCTCCTGGCTACCTGTTCTGTAGTTCCTCTTTTTTTAAGGGGAGAGGATAAAGGACTCTAAGGGACTAAGTGTTTGCTACTCCCCACTCTCCAAGGCATCAACACCTAGTATTTCATAAGCAAAGGGGCTAGCTAACCTGTGTCTACTTCTCAATCAGTCTGCTTTCCAAGAGTAGGCATCTAGAGTGTCTGAGTCAAAATGTAGGCAGAGGGCTGCATAAACCATAAACTGCTAATATATAGCCGTGGGGGTGGCCCAGGCTTATGTTGCTCATCCTGGTATTTCCCCGCAAGCTGCATGGAGCAGCCTATGGCAAAGGCATCTACCTGAGCCCCATCTCCAGTATTTCCTTTGGATACTCAGGTAAGACATACTATCTGGCCACTTGAACTTTATTTACGTTACTTCCATTTTGTGAACACATGATCTGTGCTGCTTCCTCCTCCCCATCTCATGGAGATTTGGTTTATGTCAGTGTTCTCCTCCATCATGAATGCATTGTCTGTCTGTATGTCTGTCTCTACTCATAAGAAATGTAGATTTTTTTAGTAGATGAGACCAGTTATCTTCCTTTTTCATGGGAATGGTTTTATCTGTTATAGGAGCTTAGCCCTTGGAATGGATTAGAGACTAATTTGGACATGAAACTAGGTTTCTTTGCAGACCACAAATTTGATATTAACAACAGGCCGTTGTGACTGATTGTGCACATGCATGCTCATTGCATGTGAATTTAGTTTAATACATCTGAATGCCTGAGTGCCTTACATTGATTTATAGCTTTTGAGACATTGTTCTTCCTGTAACTCATCCTTTTATAGTTTAAATTGTTTATAATCATTAATAAGGCCTAGATTCTAGTTAAGAAATAAGTTCAGCTTTTTCTGGCTGAGAAAACAAATCTGACTTGGATTTTTCTAAGTCTTCCAGGTTTATGTTTTCGTTTCGTCTTGGTCTGATTTTGTTTTTGTACTATACAGCTTGAGGGATATGTGCTAGATTCTCTATAGACTTTGAGGAGACTTCAAAAAGTGAAAGGATAAATTCCATTATTTTTCAATTCCATCTTTTCATGAACTTTTTGAGACTCACACTGGTTAGCATTCTCTAGTAATTGTAATTGTTAAAAAGATAAGAGAGACCACAGAATTAGAAAAGTGTTTACTAGAATAATCCAAACAAACTAGAAAAATGAGAATAATAAAATAAAAACTAGTACAATAGATAGGAAGAAGCCAAAAGATGGTTCTTTTAAAGAACTAATAAAAAAGAGAAGCCCTGATTAGATTGATTAAGAAGAAAAAAAGCACAATTAAACGATCTATCATGGATACAAAAAGGGACATAACTACATATATGTTGTTGTCAGGTGCCGTCAGGTTGGTACTGATTCACACTGACCCTGTACACAGCAGAAAGAAACACCTCAAAACTGTTACTACATTGAGCCTGTTGCTGCTGCCCCTGTGCCAATGCGTCTCGTTTGGGGTCTTCTTCTTTTTCGCTGAGCCTCCACTTTACCAAGCATGATGTCCTGACATGACTGGTCCCTCCTGATAATATGTCTGAAGTATGAGAGACAAAGTCTCGTCATCCTGGCTTCTAAGGAACATTCTGGCTGTACCTCTTCCAACATAGATCTGTTTGTTCTTTTGGCAGTCCATAGTACTTTAATGTTCTCCTCCAACACCATAGTTCAAATGCATCAATTCTTCTACAGTCTTCATTATTCATTGTCCAACTTTCACATGCATATGAGGTTATTGAAAATACCATGGCTTGAGTCAGGTGCACCTTAGTAGTCAAATTGACATCTTTGCTCTTCAACACTTTAAAGAGGTCTTGTGCATCAGATTTAAGATTTACCTAATGCAATGCATCGTTGGATTTCTTGACTGCTGCTTCCATGAGTGTTGATGGTTAATCGAAGCAAAATGAAGTCATTGACAACTTCAGTCTTTTCTCCATTTATAGGGATGTTATTTATTGGTCCAGTGGTGAGGATTTTTGTTTTCTTTACAATGAGGTGAAACCCATCCCAAAGGCTTTGGTCTTTGACCTTCATCAATAAGTATTTTCAGTCCTCTTCACTTTCAGCAAACAAGATTGTATCATCTGCATATCACAGGTTGTTAATGAGTCTTACTCAAATTGTATAATCCATCTTCTTGGATTATTTGCTCAGCATACATATTGGATAAGTATGGTGAAAGAATACAACCCTGACACAAACTTTTCCTAATTTTAAGCCATTCAGTGTTACCTTGTTCTTTTTGAACAACTGCCTCTTGGTCTACGTACAGGTTCCTCTTGAGCACACTTAGGTGTTCTGCAATACTCATTCTCACCCATGTTGTCCATAACTTGTCATGATCCACACAAACAATTGAAAGAAAGCCTTTGTGTAGTCAATAAAGCACAGGTAGACATCTTCCTGGTATTCTCTGCTCTCAGCCAAGCTCCATCTGTTATCAGCAATTATATTCCTTGTTCCACATCCTTGTCTGAATCTAGCTTTAACCTCTGGCAGTTTCCTGTTAATGCAGTGTTGCAGCCATTTTTGTATTATCTTTAGCAAAATTTTTTACTTGCGTGCAATATTAATGATATTGTCCAATGATTTCTGTGTTCAATTGGGTCACTTCTTTTTGGAATGGGTACAAATATGGATCTCTTCCAGTCAGTTGGCCTTTTAATAGCTGTCTTACCAATTTCTTGGCATAGTTGAGTGAGTGCCTCGAGTGCTGCATCAGTTTGTTGAAAGATTTCAATTTGTAGTCCATCAATTCCAGAGCCTTTGTTCCTTGTCAATGTCTTTAGTATACCTTGAACTTCTTCCTTATCATTTGGCTCTTGATCTTATGTTATCACTTGAAATGGTTGAACATCAGATATTTCTTTTGACTACAGTGACTGTGTATTCATTCCTTCTGTCTTCTTTTATGCTTTCTGCATCATTCAATATTTTGCCAATAGAATCCTTCAGTATTAGAGGTTGAGGCTAGAATTTTTTCTTCAGTTTTCTCAGCTTGAGAAGTGCTGGGTGTGTTCTTTCCTTTGGTTTTTCTAACTCCAGGTGTTTGCATATTTCATTATAATATTTGACTTTGTCTTCTTGACCTGCTCTTTGAAATTTCTGTTCAGCTCTTTTACTTCCTCATTTCTTTCATTTGCTTTAGCATCTCTGTGCCAGAGAGCAAGTTTCAGAGTCTCTTCTGACATCCATCATGGTCTTTTCCTTCTTTCTTGTCTCCTTAGTGACCTTTTGCTTTCTTCCTATATGATGTTCTTGATGTCTTCTCATAACTCTTTTCTAGTTTTTGGTCATTAGGGTCTAATTCATCAAGTCTGTTCTTGAGATGATCTCTGTATTAAGGTGGAATGTGTTCAAGGTCATATTTTGCTCTCCTGGACTTGTTTTAAGCTAGTGATATTGAGCTTTTCTAGTTTCTTCCCACATAGATTTGATTCCTATATATGCTATTTGGTGAGTTCCATGTGTATGTTATAGTTGTTAAGTGCTGTTTAGTTGGTTCTGATTCATAGCAACGATGTATAGGGTTTCCAAGGAGTGGCTGATGTGTTTGAACTGCCAGCCTTGTGGTTAGCAGTCTAGTCCTTACTGTACAGTGCCACACCAGGACCCTTTTGTATTGTTTTAAAAAGACATTTGCAATGATTAAGTTGTTGGTCTTGCAAAATTCTATCATGAGATCTGCAGCGTCATTTCTATCACCATGTTTTCCAACTCTGGGTCCTTATATGAAGACACTGGCTGAGACCCTATGTCAGTGTGGCCAGGGCAGTGTGCAACAGGATAGACCTAGGGTAAGATGTACGTTATCATTAAGGACCATATCTAAAAGCAGCCATAGAATTCGATTCTTCTGTCTTACCCTTCCATCTGCTTCCTCACAGAGAGAACCTTGAATAGGAGTTTATTCAGAAGCTTGTCACTGAGATACTCAGGCTGGAGAAGATAGAAACAAGGGTGGTGTCTATCTTACCTGTAGGAGGAAAAGCTTGGCAATTCAAGCCTTAAGGCTTTTGCTGCCCTGAGGTTTGTTCATGTCATTAATTCATCAGGAGGCTTCAGAGGGAGTGTGGGACAAATTGACCATCTGAGCAGTGGACAGTGTCAGTCCAAAGACTACCACCTTCACTGCTCACTCCACAGTGGTTTTCACTAAGCCAGGTGTTGAAGCAGAATCATAGTAATAGAATGTTTGTGATGGAGTCATGAGGTAGCCCCCACTTAGTGCTGCTCATGGCTTGACATGACCTGCATTTCCATCTCTTTGTGACAAGGCCGAGCCTGTGATAAAGCTGCGTGTGTAGTGTGGGAGTAGGCCCCACCTGAGCACTGTTAAATCCACATAACGTCTAAAGGGCTACAAGCAGTGCGGTTCAGGAGGGAAGGGGAGTGGAAGTTTACAGGTTTGGATTGGGTGGGAACTGGAGAGAATCGACACCTCTCATGTTAGGGAGGGCTTTCTGAAGGAGGTAGGCTTCTTTAAGATAGTTGCCATTCTGATTACCTATAGAAAATTATTCATCATTTTCTGTGTTTACTCCTTTGTCTTTTGAATGACACTGGTCAGTTTTTATGTACCTTTGAGACTAGAGCAGATCTGACTTACTCTGCTTCTCTCAAACCCACCCCTCCACCCCCCTTACCCCCATTGCCCCCCACGCCTCATTTCATATGGCTCTGGCATTTGATACCAGGTGTTAGCTAGAGTGCTCTCCTGGCCCCCTCATTTCATGTGTTTTTCTCCTATCTTAGACCCTTCAGTGTTTCCCTGCTCCCTTCAGAATAACCTTAAGTTACCTTGACATGGCCTCCAGAGCCTGCTTCCTGTGATCCTAGGCTTGTGTCTTTCTGGCTATCTCTCTCCACTCCTCCGCCATGTAGACTAAAACACTTAGCTTTATCTTTCCTCCAGACTAATGTGTCCTATTACCTCTGCCCATAATACATTCTAATGAATGAACTCTTCCTAATCCTACAGTTCTCAGCCTTGCTGCCATTTCTACCAGGAGACTGTCCACACCCCTAGGCTAGGCCAGTTTCCCACCTCTGGCTGACAGTGCTGTAGATGCTCTATATGTTCTCATCCTACCTCAAACTGACTGCTACTGTCTTCTCCCATGGAGCACCTAGTGGGTTTGAATCCCTCATCTTTCAATTAGAAGCCAAATGCTTAAACACTGTAACACCAGGGCCTGTTGACCCTTACAATACTGTATTGTAATTATTTTTTCCTTGACTATAATTTCTACCAGACTAAATTCCGTGAGGGCAAATTCCTGTTTTATTCACTGCTGTGTTGACAAGTGTTTGGCTCAGTGCCCAGCACATAGTGTACTTTGTTAACTATTTGATGCCAGAATGGAGGAATGAACTGGCCTTATTGTTCTGTGACAGGAATGGGAAAAGGACAGCACAGGATGCCCTCCAAGGATGAGCTGGTCCAGAGATACAACAGGATGAATACCATCCCCCAGGTATTATTGACTCTGCACTAGTGAGACAATAGCCATCTTCTGGGACAAGTTTGGGAGAATACTGAGATGGGTAGGGAACCAGTGATGGGAAGGGAAGTGCATAGTTGAAGCTCATTTGAAGGAATCGGTTATGTTCTAAAGTGAACACGGTTCTAAGGTCATATGTGGCCTCAGTTGTATGTAGGCAGGGATTGAGTTTAGATTCAGTAACGTGAAAATGTAAAGATGGAAGCTGTAGACCCATCCATACTGATTACAGAAAGGCAAACTTTGTGGTGTCTGGGTCCCAGGATATCCCCACCCCAACCATTACTAACTAACTAAGGAAAAAGGAAAGCTCTAACCGTGTACCTGCCTGTGCTCTCCTTTCCAGACCCGATCCATTCAGTCCAGGTTCCTGCAGAGTCGGAATCTAAACTGTATAGCACTTTGCGAAGGTAGGTAGTTCACCCAGCCCGCTTCTCTTGGTCCCCCACATTTTTTTTTTTTTTAGTCCCCCACTTTTACTTTTGATGTAACTCTGGCACAGAATCCAGCCAAGGGTGTGGGAGGTCTGGTGAAGCATCATGTCCTCTCCACTTGGACTCAGTGACTTAAGGATTCTGTCTGTGGCTTCCGGCCTCTTTCTTCCCAGTGATTACATCTAAGGACCTCCAGAAGCATGGCAACATCTGGGTCTGCCCTGTGTCCGACCATGTCTGCACACGGTTCTTCTTTGTGTGAGTCTAGGCGGGTACCCTGGGGATTAATTCAAAGAATGAAGGTAGGGATATCATGGGGTCTGAGACAGCATTTCTCTAATCTGAGATTAGCCCATGACCTCCTGAGTGTAGTCGGTGCTTGAACAGAACAGGGTCTGGAGAGTGAAGGCCAGGTAACCTGATCCCCTTCCATCCTAAAGAGCTGCCAGAAAAGGCTTTTAACTTCTGAGATGAGAGAGCCACACTTTCAAATACAGTCTTGCATGATTCTTTTGTTGCTCTCCCTCTTTGACTCACATTTCCCATGTCTTTGGCAGATATGAAGATGGTCAGGTGGGCGATGCCAACATTAATACTCAGGACCCTAAGATACAGAAGGAAATCATGCGTGTGATCGGAACTCAGGTTTACACAAACTGAGGGGGCCCCAGCCCTCGTGCCACCCTGTTCCCCCAGGATCCATCTGCCCTTATGGAAGGGCTCTCAAGAGCAGTAGGTGAGGCTGCCCTGAGGAATCGAGGGGCCATTACCAAGGGACAGGAAAAGGATAGAAGAGGTGGCCTCATGGTTGAGACTGACACAGGAGCCACTCCACATGGATGGCCCAGACTGACCCCAACCCTGGTTCTCCCAGTTGACATCACCCTGTTTGTAAATAAAACAATAAAATGGAAGGTGCTGTGGATTGGATATGATCACTGTGGTCTGACTGGCCTTGGCCCAGCACCTACTTGAAGCCTTGCAGAGGGCTGGGAGTGGGGAGAGTGGAATATCCTGAGAGTTGGAACTGTGTTTTTTGATTATGTCAAGACTGACTCCATCTTGTGTATTGTAGTACTGATGTGTCAGCATTTCTATCCATGGAGTAGATTAAAAAGGGAAATGTATGTAAATGAAACCAACTGAGAAAGTTATAGAGTAGCACTGATGACTATTTGTCAAGATTTAAAAGGACCACTGAGGCCCAAGCAGATCAGACTTCCTAGCCCTTAGGGCTCCTGCTCTCTTCACAAACCTGCCCAGTCTGTATTTCAGGTCTGGGCCCCTGCTCTCTTCCTCCCAGCTATATCTTTTCAATAAATGAAAGGGAAGAGAGCTGGTGCTTGTTGTTAGCTTCGTCTCTAACCTAAAGTCTATAAAGAAACCCTAAAAGTGAAACAATCCAAGTCCTCCTGGTTAGTAGAAGAGAGCAGGCAGCTGTAGGAGAACCAATTGTGTCACTCTACAGGAGACAAATGAGACTGTTTCTATGAAGATTTACAGTCTTGGAAACTCTGTGTAGTTGGAATCAACTCCATGGCAGTGGGGTTTTGGTTTTTTTTTTTAATGTTTTATTGTGAATTATATGACAGTTTACATGTGAGAACTTTAGTTTTACATTCATTCCATCGTATATCATTTCATTGCCATGGTTCCAATCCCCTCTATGCATCATAAACCTACCAAAGGGTGTATCATAGAAACCCGCCCCCTACACTCTCCCCTATCCCACCCCCAGTCTTCAGCCCACAGTCCCTCTCCCTCTCTGGATCCAAAGTCCCCAGCCACTTCATCACTCCACATCATCGTCTCTGTCTCTATCTCAGGCATCTCTGCTTCTCTGGGTAGGGT